AGATGTTAATTGACTTTTATTGACTGTCGGTGCATTTACGGTAGCTGCATTTTTTGCATAAATTAGAAAAAGGGTATTCCCCGAAAGCTTTTAAAGAAAGCAGCAGTGTTGTCGCCCTTTTTTAAATCAATTGCTATAGGAAGATTATGACACTTTGGACACTCATTTTAAAGTGTTTAATGGCTAGCAATAAAGAATATTATCGCATTTATTAGCTCAAACAATTATTAGTGTTTACTAAATTCCGCAATACACATACAACTTATTTGGTTAGTGCTTAATTTATTATGTATTTCATAAACCACAACGTTCAGTATTGTGAAAACCTGCAAAACAAATAGATATTAGCCAATAATACAATTATTATTGAACAAAATTTTAAATAAATACAATGGCAGTTATTAGAAAAAATTGTGCAAAAGTTTATGACCATTAATGGAAGCCAATGCATATACATATACATATATATATGTACATACTATATCGAGATTTCTATGTGCTTTGAGGTAAGAATATCGCGCAGCACAAACCATAGAATTAAATGAGCTAGTGAACGCCAAACTGTGACGAAATAACGAAAAACACTAACACATTCACATAAAAAGATTACAAAAGCAGCTGTCGGATGCAAGCCCGAACTAGCCAACATAATGAAACTATCTAATTAAATTATTAGCAATCATTGTTTAACGTAAGTCAACTGAGAAGCTCAAACAAATGCCAATAAAATTGAAGAGCCATTATAAACTTGTACTCAGTGCAGCCCCCGCAGGAAAAATATTGATTTAGGCAAAACTGACGAGTGTGCATCCATAATACCTTGAAAAATTACGTAAAATGGTGGTGAAGCCTCAGATGCAACATTTCTTGTCAAAATGCATTTTAAGTTTCTAAATGCTCCGGCCCCATTTCCAAAATTATGTGCGACTTTTGCTCCTTTTCAGAGATTTTGTTTTACACCCATGCTATTAAAAGATATTTCCTCCTGTACGTAGGAAATAATGCACCATTTAAAACTTTTAAAGGAAATGCAACTCTTCTCATTGCTGTAACTCGATTTCTGTGTTTTGTTTAAAGCTCGTCCCGCTATTATCTTCTTAAATTTAACAGCGGAACGTTCTAGCAGCGAAAAGACTTTATAATACATGCAAATTTGATTTTTACTTTCGATCTCAGATTTTTTTTTTACTAGCGAAGAAAAGCAAATATAATATGGTGACCATTTTTTTTCGTCAATTACCCCTTTTTTGCGACTTTCTGAAAATTCTCAACGGCAACACTGTATGTGATAAGCTGCATATAAATGCGGATTTAAAACTTTGCACAAAAACTATAAACATTCAACAAATTTTCACTTTAATTTCAAACTTTTTATTCAAAATTTTAGGTACGCAGTTTTATAGCCCATTAAATTTTAGTCGATAAAGTGCGCTACAACGATGGTGGACGGTATTGTGAATCTTCAAAATATGAATTTCTTAGGGAATAAAATGTGCTACACCGTTCATAAAAAAAGTAAAAAAAAAAAATAAACACCAGTTTTCATAAAATGCACTTTTTATATAAAAAAAAAAACCGAAAACAACCGGCTGCAAAAAATATATATATTAAAAATCAACACGACCCTTTAGTTGCTCGAAGCTAGCCCTTTGTTAAACCTACATTTATTGGGCTATAAAACTGCATACCTAAAAGTTTTCTAAAAATTCTGGATAAAAAGTTGGAAATTTAGTTGAAAATTTGTTGAATTTTTATAGTTTTTATACACAAAGCTAGCCTTTTACAAAAAA